AAGAAAAAAAAAAGGAAAAGGAAATATATTGTTGAATGACAGATTCCTTATATAACCTCTCATGTCCAAATTAAAAAAAAAAAAAATTTGTCAAGCCATTGAGAGTAGAATATCATGTACTTTAGCAGCATATTTTATATGGGTAAACAGTAATAGCCAGTTTGATATTTCATTTGTGACTTATTCTAAAAATAGAAAATGTTTTTATTTTCCTGAGTCCTTGGTGAATGGAAAAAAAGTGGGGGATGGTGAAAAATCTTTTTAAGTATTCCTATTCTTTTTCCTAGGGCACCCTCACAGTTTAGAACGGTGTGTCTCGCTGTCAGTTTTTACATATACAGGTGAACAAACGGCACTCATTTGAATTTTCAACGATTAATCAAATATGGCATTTGAAAATAAAACACCCGTCATCTACAAAGTTACTCAAGATGAAAGTTTCTTGACCATATTATATATGTAATATCAATTTGATTATTTGTCCATACAAAAGTATGAATTTCTATTCCATTAATAATACTGAATGATTCATGTCTTAACAGTGATAAAATTTTTAGAACATTTAAAAAATACATAGGATCCCATTTTTACATCATAATTCTGATGTATTATCATGCCTTCTATTTTGTTGGCAAAACTTTTATAGGGTACAGTGCATTGACATGATAAAACCAAGGCACAAGATTACAGTTACAATATGTATATATAAACCTTAGCACTTTGTGCCAATTTTGGAAACATTTAGAGAGACCATAAAGTCTGAAAAATTCTCACATCTTATTATGATTTAATGAGCAATTAATTGTGCAATAAACAGACTGCTAACCACTATTCCATTATGATATGGCTATTGCTATACAAGTTATGGATAATTCAAAAAGTTTTAAATATTAAAACCTGATATATCTAGGTGGATATAAATATTGTGCCTTGTATTATCTAGATAATTGTCTTATGTTTCCATTTAATTTGCAAATTGTATGGCAGTTATCAGTTCTTAGCTATTTTCATTACATAAATAAAGAGTTAGGTATTTTCCAAATGTTAGATTTCTTCCCCCTACAAAAGACAGAGATTTACAGGAAGATAACCAATATAAGAAATGTACAGACAACGTAATAAAATCCAAATATGGACTCAAAGGTTGATTTCTAATCTATTGGGACATTCTCTTACTTTAGGGTGAGGAGCAACACATTCTTGTGAGAATTCAGTTTCTTAATTAAAAAAATCACCATGACATTTTTCAGAATAGTAAGTAGTGTTGGTAGAGCATCAAGCATTGGGGAAAATCTAAGTCTTTTCATTCATAAAATGGAGAAAAGCATTTCAAAATCTTGAGGGGTAGGTTTCCACTGAATTTAGAGAAGTGGTAAAAACTGTGTTTTTCATATTTTTAAAGAGTGTTTTCAAGACTCAAGGTAAACATTTAGACCCATGAAAACACGTTTCTTGGCACATGCACGCCATAGATAGAACAATCCAGAATGCAGCACTGGCCTGGCTACAGAGGTATCTAGCTCCCAGTCCCACTGGCAAGACCTTCTTTCAGGTCCTTGTCCCAGCTCCCTTCACACGGGAGCTTCTGCCTTCTGCATTTGTTGGATCTGCTTCTGCAGCTGGTCCTTGTCCAGCTTCATCTTGGCCTCGAGAACTTGCCTGAGGGATCCTATGCTTTCATAGATGGCCGTAAACCCTTTAAGAAGAGGTAAATTTCAAAAGTTAATATTTTAAAAAATAATACTGTATCAGATTCTATAGTATATGCAATAGTTACTTCTGACAAACATAAATATATGATTAAACTCTGGGGGTAAAAGTTGGGTGGGGAACATGAGTTACATAGTTACCTAGTATCACCCTAGATATTACTCCTAAATTACAAAGGGGGAAAAGGACCAATTACAATGGACCAATCTGGCAGATAACACTTTAACCAAGTGATACAGTAACACTGGGAGAAACCAATGTCATGTACCTCTGATAAGATGCCCCTTTAGAACACAACATTCCCTCCTGGGGCATTTCTGTCCCAAATCATATCACAAGGAAGCAAAAAACAAGTAAAGGACTTTCTACAAAATACTGGCCTACATTCTTTTGAAATCTCAAGATTGCTGAGGAACTGCTCTAGCTTAAAAAGACTAAGAAACATGGTAACTACATATGATATATAATTCTGGATCAAAACCCAAATGGTATATAAAAAGGTGCTCAACATCACTAATCATCAGGGAAATACAATCAAAACCACAATGAAATATCACCCCTTACCTGTTAGGATGGCTACTATTAAACTGACAAGAGATGGCCAGTGTGAAGAAAAGAGAACCCTGTATACTATTGGTGGGAGTATAAAATGGTGCAGCCCTAGTGGAAAAGAATTTAGAGGAGCCTGGAGAAATTAAAAAATAGAATTACCAGATGACCCAGCAACCCACTACTGGGTATCTAACCCAAAGAAAGGAAATCATCATCTCATAGACATCTGCACTCCCACGATCATTGCAGCATTATTCTCAATAGACAACATACAGAAACAACCAAAGTATCTGTCAGACTGTAGGACACAATAAGTGAAATAAGCCAGACATAGAAAGAAAAATACTGCATGATTTCCTATGTGGGATCAAAAAGAAAAGGAAGTCAAATACACAAAGAATAAAACGGTTGTTACCAGGGGCATGGGGCCAAAAAATAAGGAGGATAAGGAGATGCAGGTCAAAGGATACAGACTGCAAATATGTAGGATAACAAATCTAGAGATCCAATATACAATATAGAAGGAACATAATAATATTGTATAGACTTCAGGATTTTTGCCAAAGGTGTGGATTTTAGGTGCCCTTCAAACACACACACACACACACACACACACACACACCTATGGGAGATGATGGTTTGAATATGGAAACCATCATTAAATTTGCTTGAATATAAAAAACAATTTCACGGATGGGAAAGGCAGCGGAGCACAACAGACACTAGTATGGCAATTTGTAAATCAATGGATGTGTAACTGATGTGATTCTGCAATCTGTGTATGGGGTGAAGGTGGGAGTTCATAACCCACTTGAATCAAAGTGTGGAATATGATATGTCAAGAAATTTGTAATGTTTTGAACAACCCACAATAAAAAATAAAAAAAAAAAGAGAAAAGAAATAGCCTAATTTTTGGAATTAGGAAACCAGAATAAACAGCTGTTTGCTTCCTGTGTGACCTTGGAAAAAAAAAAAAAAAAACAATTTCACTATGTATGTGTGCATTAAAACATCATACACACCTTAAATATGTATAGCTAATTTTTTTATTTAAAGAAACATTTGAGAAGCCCAGGTTGTGTCTCAGTGGTAGAGTGCTTGCCTAGCATGCATGAGACACTGGGTTTGATCCCCAGCACCACATAAAAATAAAAGTGAATAAAATAAAAATATTGTGTCCATCTACAACTAAATATATATTTATCTATTTAGTTGTAGATGGACATAATACTTTTATTTTATATATATATATAATATATAAAATAAAAAATATATATAATAAAAGTATTGTGTCCATTTGCATATGTGTGTGTGTGTGTGTATATATATGAAACATTTGATTAGAAAAATAAATTCAAAGAAAGAACCCAACTGGTGAAGGTTTGTTGTAAAGGAATCAATGGTGAAATTTGAATATTGAAAACACCTCAACAATATTGTGTGGTACCGTAGTCATGTAGGAGAATGTCCTTGTTTTTAGGACATATATATTGAAACAATAAAGGGGTAAAAAAGAAACAGCATGACTACTTCAATGCCCAGATGATTCAGAGAAGAAAGTTACTATAGTCATACACAGAGATATTAAGTATATTTCAAAAATGTCAACAATTGTTAAGTGTAGGACTTATAGAATTTTGGGATTACTCTCAGTTTTCCTAAATTTGAAATTATCTCTTTTTAAAATGAAAAACTTTTTAAAGAAAAAAAAATCACCATTGGAAGCATTTCAAACCAGGTACAGTGACACACACCTATAAACCCAACTACTCAGGAAACTTAAGGCAGGAGGATTACAAGTTCAAGATCAGCCTCAACAGTTTAGGGAGAGTCTGTTCCAAAATAAAAAATTAAAAGGGGCTGTGGCTGTAGTCAGTGGTAAAGTGCTCCTGAGTTCAATTCTTGTACCAAAAAAAAATCCTATTATTCTATATTCCTATTGGTTTTTACATTTTTAAAATTTAAGTTTTAACTTCATTAGTAAATTTAAAATTTTCTCCCAAAATTTTTATGTAAAAATTCATAAAAATTATAAATTCATAAAAATTATCATTAAAATATTTTTGACATGAGAAGACAGAACATATTACTAACTAAATAAAATAGCAAGTTATAAACCAGCATGTGTAGTATGTGCTTTTATTTGGAAAAGAGCACATAAATGTCCTACATGTATAGAAATATATACATAAGAAATAACCTCTGGGTGAGAGAAGGTATGAGTATTTTAAAAATATCTTGTGTTTTATTATTTTCCATTAAGAAATGTATTATATGGAGGTGGGATTGTGACTCAGTGGTAGAGTGCTTGCCTACCATGCATGAGGCACTGGATTCAATCCTCAGCACCACATAAATGTAAGATAAAGATATTGTGTCCACCTAAAGCTAAAAAAATAATTATTTAAAAAAATAATCCTTGTTATTACATTAAAAAAATAAATATAATTATAATTAAAAATATTTTTTTAATTTAAAAAAGACTCACATATGTTTCTTACTAGGAACCAAATATTAACAACCTCAATGGTAGGGTAAGTAGATGGCAATAAATTCATTCTGGAAATGATACAAAGTTAAACATTCAGTTTAACTGAATGAAACATTCAGTTGCCATGTTCTAATAGCCCAAAAGCCTAAAAATAAAATTAATTTTTATCTGCATAAATTCTCCCATTCTTAAGTTTAATTGTACTTTCTACTTAAATAAAATAATAAACTTTTGGTGGAAACAAAATCATTTTTGAAATAATTATTTTTATTTCCATGTGGCCAAAATAGAACAGTTCCAGAAAAGAAAATACAGAGTCACAGAACTAGAAGGAGCTAGGAGATAAATTAGTCCCACTCTTACACAGGACTTGTCTTCTCTTTCCTAACCAGGGTCCACCAGCCTCTGCTTGACAATTTCAGTAACAAAATGCTCTCAAACTCATAAAGCCACCAGTGTCTTTAGGACCATGAATTCCAAAACAGTGTTGCCTCATATTGAGTTAAAATCTGTCCTTGGGTCACTTCCACTTATTGGTCCCAGTTCTGTATTCCTGAGTTCAGAGTGTAAATCTAACCACTCTGCTGATTTGAATGTCCTCTCCAAAACTCATGTTGAAATTTAATTGCCATTGTGACAGTATTAAGAGGTGAGACCTTTAAGATGTGATTGGATTAAGGCCATGATCATGGGAATGGGTTCCTGCTATAAGGGTGAATTCAGCCTCATTTTTCTCTCTGTCTTGTGTGTGTGCTTCCCCATCATGTGATGACCTCCACTATGATATGATACAGCAGAAAGGCCCTTGCCTCATGCTAGCACCATGCTCTTGGACTTCCTGGCCTCCAGAACTGTAAGAAATAAACCTCTGTTCTTTAGAAATTATGCAATGTCTCAGGTATTCTGTGGAAATGAACAGGTGCCAGTGGAAAATGAACTGACACCTCCCTTTACAAAGTAGCACTAGGACCTTGAAACCAGCTCTGAGAGTCACCTATAAACAAGGTGTATTCATGGGCCTTATTGACTTCAGAGTGGAGGGAAGTCATTACCAAGTTAGTATATGGTCAGCAGTATAAAATAAACCCTCACAAGCCTCTCAAAGATATATGCTTATTTCTGAGATATGTTGAACTTGATTAGAAACAGAAAAGAGTCAGCAGATGGCATTGAAGAAAACATCTCAGCTGCAAGCATGTACAGTTTTGTTTGCCTGTGCCTCAGGGTGGCTCTTCATATTTGGAGTCTGAATAGCACTTTAGTTCAATACAGTACAGCTACTCAGAAAAGCAACCAAGAACATCTCACCGTTATTACATTTAGCAAGGTTCATAAGTAGTTGTAAGGAGTTACTAATTAAAAGATTTTCAGATAAAATGGAAAATAAGCCATGTGAGCTGTTGGTTTTGGCCTACCAGCATTAACTTCTGCTTTCATTTCCTTCATGTCCTCATTCATCTGCAACTCCAGCTTGCTGATTCGCCCGTGCACCTTCTCTTCTTCTTGCTTTGTTCTCTGCCCTTCCATGTTCTTCTTTTGACTCTCTTCTATTTTGTCAAGTCTGGCTGACATCTGGCTGAGCTTCTTTTCCATGTCCCTTTCATTGGCTCCCTAAGATCCATCATAAGAATTGTACTTTATTACTCCGAAAAGAAAGTCTGCATTGCATTCATATCAGTCACAATAATCTGCTGGGACAGAACTGCAATGGCTACTTGCTGCCTACTCTAATATCCATTCTCAATTGTTTCTTCTTTAACAGACCCCCAATTTTTAGTTCAGTACCAGGTCATCCAGAACACAAACTACATCTTCCTCTATCTCCTGACTTTGTGATTAAGTCTCAGCTAATGCAATGTAACTACAAGTATGTGTGATAGTTTCCAGACAATGTTACAAGGCAGCTGATACTTATCCTTATTTCTTCCTTTCCCCTCTGTTTCTATAATTCAGACAATTCCTGGAGCTCTAACAGATCTCTTGAATTATAAAAATGAGGATCATTTTCTGGGATTGGCAGAAAGTTAATATAAAAGGATCCTGAGTATCAATAAGTAACAGGCCATAACATCAGTATGGCCTAGCCTACGTCCCTATGTCTTTTTTGTAAAAGAGAAATAAGCTTCTATCTTATTAGAGTCACCATTATTCCAGAGTTTACTGTTAGTTATTAAATCAATCCACATGTAAAAATAATAATAAAAGTAATCCAAAGACCCAGAAACCTACAAATGTATTCGCATGAATCTAAGTAAAACATTCAGTAGATCTGATGAAAATACAAGAAAATACCAAAAGAATATATTTGAAATATTAAATATTTTCTTTCCTTTCCTTTCCACCATGCTTGGATTTGGGAGGAATCTTTGTCTGCTGGTGAGCTTTGGAGGTCCAGACTACAAAGACCAAGCTGTAAGTTGCTACAGCAATGATAAAGCTCTCTTGATGTTACTCACTGCAAAAGTCTGCAATTCAGCAGCTGTGCAACTGGAGAAAGCACAGTCAGAGATGCAAACTGTGCTCACTGTTTCTGGCCAGTTAAAGCCCAACAGGAGGAGGAAGTGCAAGAAAAGAGAAGGGAAAAGGAAATGGTCATGCTAACTAAAACCAACAAAAATTTGTTTGTCAAGTACTGGTTTCAGAGTCTACTGGTTTTGAACACCATGTACACAACACTTTCTTGATATGGTTTTGGAGCAGTTCTGCAAACCTCAGCTTTGTGAGAGACTGGGGCAGAAGGAGGAGATAGCAAAGACAATGATGGATACAGTTATATGTTGCACTGGGATGCCTCATACTGTGATTCCAGTGTATTGAGGGGTCTGCAGAGAGAAATCTATTGGACACTGGTAAAAAGCAAAACCAGGTTATGAAATTAAAATCAATAAAGATCAAGCTGGGAATGGTTAGTTTTATTCAGAAAGACAGATAGGCAAACTGAATCATTAAGATCTTGACTTCATTTTATCTTAACTGGAAATACTGAAATTTTCTTTCCAGACTGTGTTAACCAAAACAAGTCAAAATGCTCCACCTCCTCTTTACAAAGAATACAAAATCAGGAGCTACATGCATAGCTTACTGGTAGAATATGGGCCAAGTATCTGAGAGACCCTGGGTTTGATCCCCAGAACCAAAAAAAGAAGAAAGAATATGTACCACCAGAATGTGATCAAAGGCAAGAAACAACGGAACAGCTTTACGTGGTACCAAATTCATCAGTAATAAGTCAGTAGGCATTATATTAGTCAAACATTGTAGCCCCCACCCTCTCTGAATAACTGCTAAATTATTGATAACCATTAATACCTACACTGTTTTCCTTAACAACCAAGGAAAGCTGATCAATTTTCTGTAAAAGTTCTTTTTCTATTCGTTCTTGCTCCTGTTGTAACCAACTCCGTGCAGATAAAATCTGGTTACTGAGTTCTTCAACTGTACCTTTAAATCTAAAAAAAAAAAAAAAGTATATAAAACAATTTTTAAATGATATTAAGTAACCTCTGACTATCAGATTTCTGATAAATTTGCCAGCATTAAACTCAGCTTGACCAAATGACATGCTCCCCTTTTCTTAGGATTATACTCAGCACCATATTGGGAAAGCAAGGAGGGCAAGAAGATACAACAGAAAAGCATCTGATGCTGCTGCTACCTGTAAGGAGCTGGCAGTGTGGGCACTGAGGTGACATGGTGACCCCAAGCTGTGCCAGGTGCTAAGTTTTGCAGTTCCCAGGGTTTGTGGTGCTCTTGGAGAACACAGCGTCCCTGATCTACCCTTCCAGGCTCCCCGGCTTTTCTGGGCTCTTCTTGTTCCTTTTATCTCCCAGGACTGGAACCTGGCTCCCTATCTCTGTATTGTTCCCCAAATTACTCTTGCCCCATATGGACACATCCTAATTTAAATCAGAAGTAAAATTAAAAGGGGGAAAAAAATCCTCCCAACCTTCCACTCCTTTAGTCTTCTCCCTTTCCAAATTCCTAAAAGTAACCGTTATACATGCTACCTCCCTTAGTTACTTTTTACTGTGATATGAAATAAAAGTACAGACTAATACATGTGATTTAGATATGTGATTTGAATAATAACAATACCCACTGGGGCACAGTTTCTAATTGTCCTGCAATGTCTGTTCTCTTATTTCCTTTAAGACTTCATCCGGGGTATAAGGCTGTCTAGCCACAGACCACACTTCTCAGCCTCCCTTGCAGCTGGATGTGGCCACATAATTAAATTAGGCAATGGGACATACCTGGAATTGATAAGTTCATATATCTGGTCATATCTTTAAAAACAAAACTTTTGCCCTGGATTCTCTCCCTATCTCTCTCTATCCAGATGACTGGGGAGGGAAGAGGTCTGGAGCAGTGGAGACACCACACAGTAGGGTGCTGTCCCTCCTGACGTGGACACTGATCTTGGAACTGTTATGTGGGAGCCATGGCACTGAAGCTAGCCTTTCCCTACACTAATGCAGCTGTACACCCCTAGTCTGCTTAAAACATACAATACCACCAGGACACAGAAGCCCCAAGTGTGCTCTGAAATTGTCCTACTCACCAAGAAATAAACATTATCTGGAATTCTACTGTTCTTTCTAAAAGCCTTCTCCTTATAAGGACTTTATTCATTACATCAGGCTTCCCTGGATAACCCAAGATAACCTATCCACCTCAATTAAGATCCTTAACTTAATCACATCTGCAAAGACCCTTTTTTGCCACATAAGGTAACATTAAAAATTCTAGAATTAGGATATGGAGATATTTGGGAACCATTACTCAGCTGGTTCATTACTCAGAAAGTTACAATCATGTAACTTTCCTTCAAAATACTTATTAATAATAATATAGCATAGGTTTATTTAAGTTCCTACTTGATTAAAAGTCATCAGCTCCCTAGATTATAAACTCTATAAGGATAAGAATAGAGTCCGTTTTTCTGTTCATTACTGGATTCTTGGCCCCTAGGCCAGTACTCAACAAATGCTAGTTGAACAAATACATTAGTTATTATCCAACAACTAAGAACAATAATAATTATGAAGGAATGGACACATACTACATGTAAACTTTCCCTTTTAACTTCCATTACTGATTTCATTATGTGCAATAAGTAAAAATCAAGAGGAAAAAATTCTAGTAGCACCTAAATTCAGAAAGAGCTTCAACCAAACCTTTTTTTGATAAATTCATGCTTACTTAGTATCTAAAAGCTGAAGCTGGTGGTTACTGTCTCTATGGGACATCTTCAATTTGGTGCTCTGCTCTGATATTGACAAGTCCACTCTGTTCAAAAGCTGAGAAATCTGGAAAAGAAGAGACTTGCTTATAAATATCACACTTCATCAGATATAATTTCAGAAAACATCTCATCAGCTATAATCTAATCAGCATCATTTTCAGTTTAATAAATTCACTTAGGAGTTCATCTCATATTTTCACCTCTGTTTTCTGTCTTACACAGCCATCAGAAATCAAGACTAGTAGCATTAACAAAATACTCATCCCACACTGAGCATGAACCTTTTCCATTTTCTGATAAGCAAGCCCAGCTTCTGCCCATGATAAGCATTTCCACCAGCTGGCACAAAATACAGGCATCTTTACCTTGGAATTTCAAGTGGCTGTTAGGCACAGGAAATGGAATTCCTATTGCTTATAAAATCCATCAAGGACCCAGAGAGGACTATAGAGTCAAGTCACCAGCAAATATAATTTTAGACTATCTCCTTCTTGGTCATTTTTCTCACTACCTATCCATTTCCCTTATATTTTTACTGAAATGTAACCTAAAACTTGTCCTGTGTGAAGTGTTCACATTTTCCAGAAAGAAAGAAAGAGAAGAAGGAAATTGTGTTCAATTGTTCAACATTCGTTACTTAAAGATTCATGGTATCTATCAGATCTGGAACCAAAATTTAAAAAAAAAAAGTATGCATTATTTATTCATTTTAAAATTTTTATTTATTTACTTTTCAGTACTGGGGATTGAACCCAGGGCCTTTCACATGCTAGGCAAATGCTCTACCACTGAGCTGCAGCCCCAGCCCTAGTATGCTTCTTTTGATGGGTTTCTGGGTGTGTTTTACTTGGCCTGGCTACCAGACAGCTTAAGATTTATTTTGCATCTATTTTCTGACATAATAATTCCATCCTCAGTTATTCTTCAAAAAAAAAAAAAAGTGGACTTGTCTTTATTCTTTTTTTTTTTTTCACAGTTTAGTAATGTCTGTGTCTTTCACATCAGTACTTCAGATTCTTACTGGAGGTAGTTAGGAGATAAATATTTTTAATCCAATAAATGGACCAGATACCCCTATTTTTCTAGAACGGCCTCTCTATGAATGAAGAATAATAAATAGGGCAGATACTATGGGAAAAGTTCTAGAAGACAGGTCCTAT